TATTGCTCACATGTCACAGCAGCTGCCTTCACTCACGGGGCTCCAAGGTACCTTCTCTGGGTCCTACAACAAAGGATTTTTTTGTTGAAACACTGTTTCATCAGCAAATACATATCCATTGTGGCTTGAGCTTTTTTTGCAAGATTGTCATAGTTTTAAGGAAAGCAGTAGGAGAATTTGTTTGGTCAGGATGAATATTCTGCTCAAAGTCTGGGGAAAAAAACAACCCACCAAGAACCACATCTGACTCAGTGAAGGTTTGGGAGCCCAACTGCCACCATCCAATGGCCAGCCAGCTCTTTTAAAAGAGGTTTGGTATTTCCCTGATGTTAAATTAATAAAAGTGACGGTGACATGACAAGTTTTGGTCCATAGCTCAGTGTAGTTTATTCCTTGAGACTTTATGCAAAGCCAGCACAAGTGACAAAGGCACAGCCACCCCTGCAGCCAGCACAGGCTCAGGGATGTCTCGGGCAGACCCATGTGTCCTCTGTGCCTGGGCAGGTGTGGGATCAGTTTGTGGTACGTGTCAGAAATCTTCAAAGTTCCTTCTCTTTATTGAAAGGTTTCAAGGCTTTGTGCCAGCATTTCCTCCCATTGCTTTTGAAAATAAATAAGCTGTTTACTTACTTTTGTGTTCCTGTTTCTCTGAATCCACTTAAATGCCCCTGACAAATTGTCTTTTGCCCATAAGAATTTGAAGAAACCTCAATATCTTAGACAACCACTGCACATATCTTGCCCATCACAGGCAAGGTCAGGGCAAAGCCAGGGAAGGCACTGGGACCAGCAGATGAGCAGCAACGCTCTCTCTATCTCTCAGCTCTCTTTTTTATTATGCCTAGTATTTTGGTCGAAATCCTTACAGGTTCCTGACTTTTCCTGCACATTTTTCATGCATGTTCACTGTAGGCTGTTTTGCAAACCACAGCTCTGCCAAGGAGGGAGAGCCTTCCCTTTCAATGGGGAGTTTTCTAGATGTGTGTTATTGCCAGTAGCTGGTATTGCTGATGCCTGTTGTTTTCTATTGTTAAACTAACTGCAATGTGTGACCATCGTGTATCACTCAGTGATGCCTAATTTAGGAGATCAGTGATTAATTCCTTCCATTGCTTTTTCTTCTCCTTCTCTCTCTCTCTCTCTCTCTCTCTCTCTCTCTCTCACTGCAGGATGTTTTCACACCAGAGTGCAAATTTAAGGAATCTGTCTTTGAAAACTACTACGTTATTTATTCTTCCACGCTGTACCGGCAGCAAGAATCCGGACGAGCGTGGTTCCTGGGACTCAATAAAGAAGGTCAAATTATGAAGGGAAACCGAGTGAAAAAAACCAAGCCCTCATCACATTTTGTACCCAAACCCATTGAAGGTATGGAATCTGCTCGCTCCCTGCATCGGTGGGGAGGAGGAGTTTGCAGCATCAGATCTGGGGCTTCCTGAATGAGGGGGTTGGGCTGCAAAAGCAGAAAGCAAGGAGTATTTATAATAGTTCAGAAAGGTGTTGGGCTACACTGCTGGCATTTCATCTGCTTTCCTTCCCGCATAATAAACTTTGCGCATTGTCCCAAAGGGGTTTCTCACCTTTGGGGTGCTAAAGGATAAATTTAAAAACCCACATGAGAAGGTTTCTTGTCGCATGTAGAGTCGATAGAGATAGGATTTATCTCACATGATTTTAGACTTTGGCATTCTGTTTATGGTAATGTAAGAGCTATGCGTCCTACCAGCACAGTTTTGGATGTACTTTGTAGGTCTACCCTAGGATGACTTAAATTTTGCTCATATGTAAAGACATCCTACTTAGTCGCTGAGGATAGAGAAACCTTGTCATAGATGTCCAAAGTTAGATGCGATGTTGTCATGCCATATGTCTTCATCACAGCATGGGGCTTCAGTGAAAGTCATGGAGTAGAAGTTCTGCCCTCCTGCTGCTGGCTGTACACCATGGGTACATGGTGCCATGGGCTTATGTCAGCACATTTTGCTTTTTATCTGTTGGCCCCTGATAAATGGAGAGATGTAGCGTGATTAGCCTAGTACTGAACAGGTACTAACCTGATTCTGGAAACAAGGAGATAGATATCCATATTGTAAGAGTAGAGAATAGCCTGGACCCTCTTGTCCGGTGCTTGTTTACAACAGCTTTTCTGCAGCCAGGAGCCTTTTCTTGTTTATCTGAGGCATTACTGAGATTGGTGCCCTAAGCCATCATTGAGTTTTGATAAGGAGCAAGACCTGCTTCAGGCATAGGGACAGTCACCAGCTTATCTTCTGTCTTCTCCTTTCCTCTCCTGCCTTGGCTGGGAGGAGAGTCTCTTGCAAGTGCTAGCTTTCACAGCTGGGTTTCCAGCTCCTTCTGGTATTTCTTTGCTGCCTGGCTGAGTATTGGCACTGCCCAGCGGGTTCCTTTCAATCCAGGCTGCTTTTTTGATGTAGCCTGCGTGGCGTCTGCTGAATGGCTCAATAGTTGTCTTCTGCATGCATTAAACTAGACCATTCCTGTGGCTCTCCTCATGGAAAGCCTTGCCTTAACAGAGGTGCCTGACTCACAGCAGAGTTCTCATTGCAGCAAATGCTGCTCTGGCTTTCATTTTGAAAAATTCAGCCCAGCCCGAGAGCTTCCCTTTCCTGCAGTTGCGTCCTCCCACGCTTGCTTCAGTCACAGCTGTCACATAACCTCCCGAGCGAGTGAGCGCTTTGGAAGTTGGCAGCCAAATTAAGGGCTCCTCCACCCCTTCCCTCCTCCACATGCTTTGCAGTCAGCCTCTTCAAGCACTGCTGCATCAAAGAGCTGGCAGTCTCCCAAGCTGAGGCACGTGTCAGCTTCCCAAAGCGTTCAGCTGTCTGGGATTGTGACTCCAGACGGAGGACTCTGTTCCCAAGCCTAAGATCCACTGTAGGTAGCAGAGGCTTGTGGGGAGGGTTGGAGTAAAACGCCCTCCGCTCCACGTGACTTCTCTGTGCTACATCCATCAAAGTCTCTGTGAGCAGAGCTTGCAAGCAGAGATGTTACAGACAAGGGGCAGTTGCTACCCTGTTTTAGCAGCTTCTTTCTCTTCGTCATGTCTCCAAGGCAGTACTGAAAGCACTCGCCTGCTATATTTGCATGTCCCTTCTGCTAAATGCTGTGGCATGCCCCAGCGTGTGGACTTTGCTGCGTATTCAGGGCTGTGCTTCACAGCTCCCATCTGCAGTAACACACCCAGGTTTCCTTTTGGTGTGGTACCAGCAGCAGCATTAGCCCTGCTGATGACTGACCCAGTAATACATGCAAGCAGGATTCTGGTCCTCTGGGAAGGAGGAGTGTTGCATAGGTTGCAAGGAATCGCTTCCTCCACCCCTTCAATGGGTTGCCTCTGAGACGAAACTTCCCAATTGTTTGCCTTGTGCAGAAAAATTATGCAGCAGCTTAGTGAAGAGAGCCTTTGCAGGGAAAGGAAACACAAAAAAGGCCCAGATTGTTTCAGGAGCTCATTTTGACTCCTGTGACTTCACACTGCTTTCTGAATTCAGACACCATCTCCTCAAAGTTGCAAATGGGCAATAAACTAGTAAATAAATATGAAATATCCTCCAAAGTAACTTCTGAGGACTACATAGGTGTACGTGTGCACATATACACAGTGGTATCTGTTTATGTTTGTTATATGTGGCTTTTAGCAGCTACAGCTTTATGCTGTGCTAATCCCACAGGGTATTTTGACTCCTGTAGATTGTTGGAATGGTGGAGATGTTCTGTGTCAAAGTCACTAGATACCAACTGGAAAAGTTCTGGGGGTTAAGTTGATAGGAGGGTTTTTTTAGTTTGGTAGGATTTGTTTGTTTTGGGGAATAGCATTAAGCTTAATCAATATGAAAGCACAAAAAACTTACTAAGTAATAACAGGAGAAATGTTAAGTTCCACTCCCATCTGTGCACAGGCAAAGCCAAGGCAAACAGCCTGGCAAGCAGCATTTAACATACTGTGTGGTGCCAGTTTTGGTTAAAAACACACATACGCAACACATTTCTCTCGATATTTTTATTTCTGATCACTGATCATTCGAGCTAAATGAGCCCTTAAAGTGCAGGCATATAGGTTGAACCAGATTGCACAAGAAATTAGCTTGAGCATAATTGTCACTTGGATACCAAGAAATCTTTTAAAGCAGTTTCAGTCTCTTAAGTGTCTGTAGTGATTAGTGCTGGACAATCACTTCTGTCCACAGGGACTCTTGTTTTACATATTCAAACCTATCTCAAACAATGGAAGAATTTACAGTCACTTAACTGAGAATTTTAACAGATGCTTATTGTGGACGTGCTCTGTCATTTAATTTTCCTGCTCCTTGAAGACATAATTTCCAGATTGCTCTCCCAAAACAGCTACATTTCGTCTCTCACCTGGCCCAAGCCAGAATGCGTTTGGGGTGGTAAATCTGGCCAGACAAAGCAGAAGATGACTCTTCCTCCATCTGAGTGAGCAGAGCTGCCCCTAATTCCAAATTTGTGGTGCTAGAGCCCTCATGACGTGAACATGTCTGAGATATGAAGGTGACCTGTTAATGACTAGTCTGATCCATTCATTATCACTGATGTGTATCTTTGTGCAAGGAACAGCAGCCAGGTCTTTCCAGAATGTTTTTCCAGGGATGTAACATCCCAGTTTAGTTAAAGCAGAATCCTCCGATGTTGCAAAGAAGTACAAGACACTGTTGAGTAGGAATATTTAATAGGGCTAGTGAAAATGCTTCAAAAGGTGTCACCTTAATCCACAAAATATCCTAAAAAGTGTTCTTAAAACAACAAAACAACAAAACCCCACACTCTGTTAAGGGTCTGTCTTTCAAGTGGGCAGGCTTTGGTATGTTTTCTGTCCTTCACAGGCTCACTTGTTCATCTATCAAACTCCTAATCATCTTACTAGATGGCAAATGCAGTGTATCTTAACCATGCTTTTTCTTGGCTTTTTGTCACCCTATGCTGCATTTCTTACCTGAACAAACTGTGATTCCATCTGGCAGCATCCTGTACATTTAGCTGCCAGATAGACGCGAGCTCGAACACCTCCGAAATGCATCAGCTGGGACTAGGTTTTAGAATACGGTAATTAGAGGCAGAAAATGATGGTGCATAATCACTTGCTCCCTCCTGCCCCTAGCTGCTGCTTAGGCAATTAATTCTCTCCACCGAAGCATCAGCTAATGCAGCCGCTACTGCAGATACCGACACCGGTCGCTGTGGCATCCGTCAAGAGAAGGAGCCCGTTTCCTGGGCTGCTGGCCAGGGCATGTGGGCCCAGCCCTGCCCAGCCGCTGGTCCAGGCTGCCACCAGCCGTGTGGTGATCCTGCAGGGCTAACGACCTGGCTGCCTGCTAAACGGCAGCGGGGGGAAAATTTGGTTGCTTGTAACTTGCTATGGTCCGAGGCAAGGAAAGCCAGGAGTGAAGCTGGAAGGGTGGGATATATTTAAGGGCATTTAATAAGCATTTCCCTGTATTCTCGAGGAGTTCTGTATTCTCAACTTGCAGAAATGCCAAGTGAGAAATACTAGGATCAGGATGCAAAACAGTGTGTGCTTCCCAAACTCAGGCAGTCCCCTGAAGCAGCACACGGTGATTTCAGCTTCCCTGTGTGGGAGGTGTGCCAGTGCTGTGCCTGGGAAGAAGCAATGAGACTGGGACCCTGTGCCAGCGCAGAGGCAAGATATTGAGCTGTTCCTGGGTGACAGGCAGCCCCCTCCATGCCTTTGCCTTCAGGAAGGGTGCTCCCCACCTTCTTCATTGCTTGTACCCCCAGTCTCCTTCCTGCCTAATTTGCGAGTTGTTTCTGTGTGTAAATTGTTTCACTGTGTGTGCCAACTACAGGTGCTACTGGCTAGCAGGGAAGCAGCGAATTAAAAGCCACAAGAACCAGATATGGGCACAGCTCTGCTGCCGCTCGCCCCCTTCCATTTATGCCTCTGGCTTTTTAAGCAGATCAAGCTAGTGGCACTTTCCAATTAAAGCATGAATTTGGATGTGTTGATTAAAATCTGGGACATAGGAGCTCATTATCTGATTGAGGCTCCAAAGCATTATCTTGGTTTCCAGACATTAAGGGCTGTATTTGGCTTGGCGTGTGGGTGTGGGTGGGTGGGAGAAGCAAGGCAAAGCAGGGAGGGGACTCTTGTTCTTGCCAAATTGCTCATCCTTCCAAAGCTGCCGTGTGCTATGTGCACCAGCAGACATCCCAAGCATCCAGGCATGCAGTCACACTTCTGCTAGTTTGCCTTGATGCAGCAGGGGACAAGGGCACAGTGTCTTCACACACACATGCACAGAGACCCCAAACAGACCTGCAGGTGAGTGCTGCTAGTCCTGAACCACAAAGATGTACTTTAAAGATGTGAGCACTTAAAACAGTCCATTTGCAAACCCCTCCGCCTGGCTCTGTGACTAACATCTCCACGCGTGAGTCACGCTCAGGCTTCCTCGGTACAAGGAGTAACAATCTGCAGTCCAAGAGCCAGTGTTGCACAACATGTCACAATGTCCTTAAAACCCCAGGCGTGTGCGGCTGTGCACACACACACACACGTGTGTCTCTGTGCACACACGTGTCATGGTGAGACAGATTAGCAGCTGCTGCTGAGCCGTGGCCGTAGCTCAGCACACACACACAAGCCTCTTGTGTAGGACAATATCCAGGCTCTATCTTGTGCGTGATGCTATAAAATACCACATACATTGATACCGTAGGTGTATCTAAGTACTGAAAATATGCTTGTCCTATGATGCTATAGATTTTCTGGCATGATTCGTTGGCACAGCCTGTCTGGTATGGAGGCTATGACAGCTCTGTCTGAAAAGCACTATGTAAGCAGCCTCCAGCCATGCCCCATGTCAGTACTTGTATCATACACTAGACTGGAAGATAGACTTAGAATTCCTGCCCTATTTCCATGCTAGGTACAGGGTTTCCTTACTTTTTTGCAAATATTGTTTACTTCTGTAGCCTGATCTCTATGCATTACTCTGTGGGCCTTACTAGTACCTCAATGGTTTTACCCAAAGGTCAGGGTGGCAGGCAGGGAGCTAAGGAAAAGCAACGTGTGATGGTCCTGCTGCTGCAGGCTCTGCCTGGGCTCAGCCCTTGTGGTTAAGCATCTGGCCCAGCCTGATGGGTGTTGGGGATGGATGCGGATGCGATGAGCTTAGTACGGGCAGCTGCCTGGGGAAAGAGGTCACGGAGGGCCCCCCAGCTCCAGCTTGGGACCGGAAAGGTCAGGGTGAAGACAACAGTGCACTTGAGGCAGAACTTTGTGTATGGAATGTCAGGGACACTGGAGCAATGCTGGCACAAATACCCAACTCTGCTGGGCAGAGAATAAGGACGGTCATAGAAGTGATATGCATCCTCAATGTCATCAAAAGACTGTTGCTCAGACTAGGAAATCCCAAACGCACAGGTTCTCCTCACTTGTTAACTTTTTCATATGTGTTCTTTAAAATTTTATTAGGTACTTTGCCACAAAAGACAAATTCAGCATCACCAGCTTGCTGAGTGACACTCAACTAAAGGCATGAGGGGCAGCTCAGCAGCTGAAAAAGGGATGAGAGAGCCCTTTTCCTTCTATTGCTGCCATGCTACATGCTTTCCTTACAGCATTCAGACAGCATCAACAGTCTGGGCGGCTGATGGGCAGTTCCTGGCATTGCTTATCTTGGCCCAGACCCATGGGACAAGTTATTAATTTTCTCTTTTTTCTCATTTTCATCCAAAAAATGGCTCCAGTTTGCAGAGCAGTACCTGTCTTGCAGCTGTGCTGGGAGGCTCAGCTAGTGTGTCTGTATTTAAACTGCTCTGAAAGCCTTGCATGAAAAATGCTCTATGGGCAAAGTAATATTTTTTTCACTGCTCATATATTCTTTGCAGTATCCCTCCGATTAATACACAGCTGACTGCTCTTTATCTCTGTCCTGTATTGTTGCACACTACTACAACTGTTTATCTACCTAGGAGTAAAATGCAGAGCAGTAATGCTATTTGCAGCCTGCCTCTAATTGCCAGGATTTATTTGCAGATCAGAGGAGATTATAAATATATGCTCTTGCATCACCTTTTTATACATGGGCTATTTTTTAAATTTCTTCAGATAATTTTCAAAATTTTGTTCTTGTTGATTACCCAGAACCAAAACCTGATGAGCTCTATCCCCTGTGCCTGAGCTCTGTGCCACTGTTTGTGACGTGACCATTTTACAAAACAAACTAGCACACAATCATTTCTTTCCATCCTAATTTTTGCAAAGATCCGGGCGTGGCATTTGCAGTCTGGACCTGCCTTAAATTCTCAACTCCAGTGTGCCTGCCCTTGAGATGCCTTACTCTTTCACTCACATCTACACCCCCTCCATGTTTGCGATGAGCTCATCAGAGATGCTTCCTTTGGTGTGAGATGCTGAGCTGCTCTGGCACACCTCACATGACATGAGGACAGCCATGAGGACTTAGTCTTCCACATGGTGAACTGGATAAATGCTTTATGCTGCATAGGGCTTGGGGATGTGTTATGCCTTGGGCACACGTTGCCTTCTCAGGCTGTCTAGCCTCCAGCAAGTACATTTTTATAGGACACACATTACTTAGCCAGGGTCTGGAGGGAAGGGGCCCTCCCTTTATCCTTTTCTGAGGTGCTTCCAGGTGATCAGACAGAGCTAGGATGGCTCCTGGCTTGTTGGCACTGAACTCATCCCCATGTGTCTGTGCTCATGGCCTTGGCCTTGGCTGGCTGTCTTGATTTACAGGGGAAAAACTAAAAAGTGCTGAGAGCAGACCTCAGCTCTTGGCCAAAGGAGCCAAATGGGCTTGAGCCACCACTTCACATCCAGAGCTTAACACCCAGAAGGCTTGGATGGCTGAGTTGCAAGTGCAGATCTGATTCAAGATTCTCAAGGGCTTCTTGTTGGAGGTTAAGGGCTGGAGACTGGGTAATTATTGGACCTGTTTTTAGACGATAATCAGCATCTTGAGACTACATGGTTCTGTAAACTGGAGTGTTCATTTCATGTAAATGAATATAACATGACAAAGCAGTAACGCACAGAAAGCCTAGAAAGATTTATCTGTGAGAAATCCCCTGTTTCTATCTGCGCCTTTGGAAGAATCCAGAGACAGAGGTTGTGACTGTCAGCAGGGGCAGTTAACAGATCCTGCTTAGTAACAGGATCTGCTTACTGGGTCACTGAGGTTTCTGATGTTTATTTCATGTAAATGAATATAACATGACAAAGCAGTAACGCACAGAAAGCCTAGAAAGATTTATCTGTGAGAAATCCCCTGTTTCTATCTGCGCCTTTGGAAGAATCCAGAGACAGAGGTTGTGACTGTCAGCAGGGGCAGTTAACAGATCCTGCTTAGTAACAGGATCTGCTTACTGGGTCACTGAGGTTTCTGTCAGTGTCTGTGTTTGTATTGGAATTTTAGCCTCGTATACAAAGAAATAGTTCGTTATGGTCACTAACGTCTGTGACTTCAGGGCTGTTAATGAGTATCTTTTCTGTTTGCAGTGTGCATGTACAGAGAGCCGTCGTTGCATGAAATTGGAGAAAAACAAGGACGCTCAAGAAAAAGTTCAGGGACACCAACCATGAATGGAGGCAAAGTTGTTAACCAAGACTCGACATAGCTGACAAATACCCTCCCTTCCTCCAGCTCCTCCCCTCCCACCCACCTACCCACCCCACCTGGCGAAACCACACTGAGACAACGACAACTGAGCAAGGCAGGACCTACCGGTAGTGGCTAGGAGTCCGAACTCCAGAATCTTTGTGTAGGACGAGGAAATTGAATCTCAGATCCTGCCTGTTGCAACGTTTTAAAAAACAAAAACAACCAAAAAAAAGTGAAGAAAAAAATGTTTTAAATCAGGACTCCATTAACATTTTCAAAAGCAAACTGTTTGCTCTGTGATCAAAGGGGGAAAAAAATCTCATCTCTGCATAATAATAATAATAACAACTAATAAATATAATAATAACAATAATAAAGATGTTACCTTTAAAAATAAAACAAAGCTTTTGGAAAATTGAACTTAGCATATGATGTGCGAGAAACTTGGGAAACGCAGCCTGGGACTGCTTTCTGTCTTTATACTTTCACCTCACGTTCCCATCACTGTTTTCTCCGTCCCTGCGTCCCTGGGGATGGATGGGATTTTTCACAATGCAGGAAAGGTAGGGATGGATTATGACTGTGTTTGCTCTGCTATCAATAAAATATGGCCTGTCCAAATTAGGAGTCTGACAGTTATGGGCAACAAACTAGCTACTCTGTATTCAGCTTTTTCCATCTACATTCAAACACTGTGTAGTTATTTGTTGCTAGTGTCACTGTGTGAGTATGTTTGACCCAAGTCTGGCATTTTATGCCTTTTTATCATAATTATTTATATTTACAGGCTTGTTTTACCGTATAAGTTATCAGGAGAATTTCAGAAATGAGTTTCCAGATCTCGCAGGATGAAGTGATCATATTTATTAGGGGAGAGTTAGATCATGAAGGGAAGGAAGGAGTGCTGATTGCTTAAAAATACAGAACAGAGCAAGAAACGGTACTGAAATCTATGCTGTCAGATGGGAATGATGAGGCATGTGCTATGTGAGAGGCTGGCAGGGATTGCAGTGAAGGGAAGAGTAGTGTGGGGAGTGAGTGGGTGGGGTGTACAGAGGAGGGGGCAGCTACAGGGGAACACAGAGGGTTGTACATGTCCAGCAGTGCCAGAGTGAGGAGAGGCTGCTGCGTCCTTCTAGCAGAAGGGCTCTCCCTAAGTGTTACAACTTCACACATCTTGTTTTACACATATTCAAAGCCAAAACTACAAACCCCTCTAATCCAGTGCTTTACCACTGCCATGCCTGTTATGGGATGAGAACCTCTGAGATGCTGCAGGAACCTGGGTATGGCTGGGGGCACCCGTCTCGCAAGTGCTTCAGATGCCGGAGAAGTGCTTCAGAGGTAATAAATTCGTGGCTAGGGAAAGGCAAGGAAGAGGGCAGTGGGGTGAGGGATGCTCAGTGCTGAGCCCATCTGCAGCAAGTCTCTCCTTGTCTGGTGCTTTCCTGGTAGTCTGGGGGGCAGTCACTGGTGAACCACACATCCTCGATCCCATGGAGGGGGGGATACTGAAATAGGGCCCACACACATTAAATTCCATCTGATCTCTTTCGACACCCAGGGCCTGCATGCTGAAGCAGCGAATCGTAGAGGTGATGCAGCTGCTGTCACAGGAACAGGCACTGCCCTGGCTGAGGCACCTGGGAAGGTTTTTGCTGCTGTTATAGCTCCCGTAAGAGTGAAAAGCAAAATGAATAAACAAATGCCGAGAGGCCTGGAGGGTGTTAACAGGTGAGAATGGCTCATTATACAAGAGGAAACAGCTTAAAGCCTTGCTGTTAAAAGCCAGCCAGGAGTGTGTGTCATTCATAAATTATGGGCATACATGAAATACCACTTTAATTCTTGAGGTTTCCTTGCTGTCACAGCCAATGCAAGCTGTGAAGCTGCTGTGTCTGCAGGGGACAAGGAGTGCCTAGGCTGGCTGTGATGCTCCCTGCAAAGCGGCTGCTGACCCGGGCACCTCCAACCCTGAGGCATGCTCACCCGTCAGCACAGAACAGAGCAGGCTGGGAAAGCTAAAGAGAGAGCCAAATTTCAAGGTTATGGAAGACTCCCAGGATCAGCATGAAGGAATGAATTTGAAGCATGTCCTTTTGTGTTTTGAAAAGCTGAAGCCTTGAAATAAAGAGCCTCTTAGCATGATTCTGCAGCCTAATGCTGCACCTCCCAGCAGCCCCCTCTGTGCTATAGGGACACAGTGCCTGCGTGCCAACAGCAAGCACCAGTGAGGTTTATCTGGGGTTGCCAATTGTATCAGAGTGACTTACTTATTCCTGCCCACATCAGCATCCTCAGTCCCCCAACACTGGGGCAAGACCACCAATACACGCCAGGTTGGGAACATACTCCCCCAGTACCATCTGATACACTCCATTGCCCACAGTACAGGTCCCTCACGAACTAGAGAGCACACCAAATTAAGGCATGCAGGGGGGCTGCTTGCTGAAGAGATGTACTGTCAAACAAGTAGAACCTCAAGACAGGCTGAGCTAGTGGTCTCTCAGCTGGCCAGGCCAGGCCACGATTTAGACATTGAGCCATGGCCTCTCTCATCTGCCTTCTTGGAGCATCTCCCGTGGAAGAGACCATCCACAGCACAGCTTGGTGCCACAAGCCTCTTCTGGCTCTGGCCATGGGCAACTTACCAAAGTCACTGACGTCCTCTAAAGCAGATCCAACATGAGAGCCCAAAAATTGCCGTGACCTTGTGTGCAGAACACCCTTTGCCTAAGGCCCCGGAAAGCCATGGGCGAGAGCAGATCCAGCCCTGCCACATGCTAATTTTTCCATTGTGTGTCTCATCACTTCCCATGCTGGGCTTCTTGCCTTGATAATTTTCTTCGGTCACATCATTGCGAAAGTCCCTGGATGTGCCACAGTCAGGCCTAAATGTCCAAATAATCTGCTTCTTTTGTCTGTTGTACTAATCATCTTCATGCAACACTCACTGAACTGGTCCATAACAAGAGCAAATTAATCCTGGACACAACCAGGGTCCATGGCATAAACCATGGAAATACTGTGCACTTAACCTCTGCGAAAGCTGCAAAAATAATCTCGTGGTGTAATACAGGAACTCCTGACATCAGGCTAGCCCCAAACCCAGTGACATTGCACAGTTCAGCTCCACGGTGTCCTCCTACACCAGCTCCTGACCGGGAACCACTTGGCTATGGATGTCTTGACACCCTCCGGATGCCTGGGATAGCCCAGGGAGATCCATGGATTGCAGGCAACATGTAAGCAGGCTTCATCTATTTTTTTTTAACTCAAGTACCTTGCAAGCTTTCTCCCCAGGCCATATCTCAGGGAGTCGCTGTGAGTTTTGTTGATTATCCATCTGCCATTTCCCAATCTGCAGGGAGTCCATAGAGACTTTTTCCCCTGTTTTGAAGTTCCTGCTTCTTGCTGTTATTGCTCAGTGTCAAAGTCCTGATGAGTGACACATGCTTCAACCATTTAGGAAGCTTTGCAACTCAGTTTAACATTATAGTGACTACAACCCTTGGCTAGCATACATGTGATACTTGCAGGACAAATTCCTTTCCTAGCTATGCTGGCATGGCATTGGGCAAACAGCAAGGCACTGGGCAAAATAGCCAAGAAAAGTAGATGATGAAAAAGAAGGACATTTTCATTGTGCCTGGTCCCTGGTAGCTCTTAACTCTGCTAATTATGTAGCAAACCTTTGTCTGCTGAATAACAGATGCTGCTATAGAAGAATGTGGACGTTAGAAGTCCAGCAACAGAAAATACATCATAACACAGAAATAAGGCACATTTAAAACATTCACTTTGTTTCACCCTTGTATGGCCTTTAATTTTCTTGTCAGCACGGTTCTGGCAGTACATGCTATGAAACACAGCTCCTCTCATCTATGCATCAAGGGCAAAACCTAATAACGTGGCTCCAGTTTGGACCATCGGGAATTTGCTAGGGAAAAAAAAAATGGAGAAAAATATACTAGCATGACAAGCATGCCATACGGCGCCAGCAAATTATGCCACAAGTGTCAGCACTGGCATGTGACAATGTGTTATAAAGTGAAGTTGACACTCAACAAAGCAATTTATGAAAGTTGTCAGTCAACAACATTTTTTTGTTTGCGCTCAGAAAGGGTCTGGCTGACAGAGCCCCACACAACTCTTCAGGCTGTCACGGGCTTCACTTTACACCTTTGCATCTTAAACAGTGCTGATTGTGCATTGTGAGTGTTACTGTCCCCAAAGAGAGCATTGCCACACTCTGAGCCAAACTGAAGCAAGCAGGGCATGTAAACTCCCCAGGTTGACTAGAGAGCAGAAAACTAAGTGTGCTATCCTTCTGGGCTCACGCCAGCAAAGATGCAGCATTTATGTGTGGTAGACATGTAAAAACTGTCTTTTTGAGGACTGCAGTTCCTAAAAAGAAAAAAGAAGGTGCAGAATTCTCATTAACTGCAGCAAACAAAGTGAACCTTTCCTAGTGGGCTTACAGGAAAACACACCACTTTTAACACTGGAGGAGATATTGGCCCACAATCATGGCCAACACTAGACCTTTATTAACTGTGGCATAGCTTAGCCATGGTCCTAGATGGCAGGGCTAAGATTATGTGTGACTGCATCAAGGAAGGTGAAGAAAAAAAAAAGACAACAAGAAAAGACACAACTGAGTATCTTCAGATACAGATTCCTCTCCCAACACTGGAACAAAAGATCTTGAGTTGTTGCTGTGGGTTGACCCACGGCAGGCACCTAGGAGTAAAATCAAAAGAAACACCACTGCACTTCCTCAGTGAAGCAGAGATGTTTCCATGGCATTCATGTCTTAATTCCCCCACTGCCAATGTGTCAGCCTTGAAGGTGATTGAAGGCTGTTTCCATACAGTAAAAGGCAAAAAGACTTACATCCTCCTCACCAGCATGGAGTAAAGCTTGAGTGCTCTACTTCAGCTCCTGAGCAACAATCAGGGCATAAACCAATTTCCTCATGTTCTTCTTAGACACCCTGCTTAATGACCAAAAAAAATCCCATAGCCATGTTGATACACTTCACATGTTGTTACACTACACATCACATTTAAGCATATCAACGTCTCAAAACCACTAAAACCTTTGTGGCCACAAAACTAAAGCTAAGTAATTACCATTTCATGAGAGAGCATTTCTTTTCATGACATTTGCATAACAAATTGCCACATGACAGGAAGTTGGACATCTTACCAGCTCACCTCCCTCTTGGACTTCAGGCACCTTCTC